GGCGGCAGCCTGCGCGGCGTCTTCTTTGCAGGCTATCGCAAGGAGGGCCTGAAGGAGGGCGAGTGAGGTACCTGGGCGACGCGGTGGGAAAGGCAGGCTTCCCAGCGCCTCACCCGCATCATGCGCTCGGAACCACTGAGCACTTGTGCTCCTCTCTTGTTGTGCGTCTTGCGAAACACTGACTTGAGTCACAGAGCGGTGCGACAACTACATACTCTCTCGCCCTGCGTGTGACTAGCCGGTGTGTGTGAACTGTGTGTGAGTGTTGTCTGTGTGTTCACACTTTGTGTGTTGACTTCATCTTCCACAACTGTCTCACAAGCCGCCGAAAAAAATCTCCCGCATGTCGTCCCCACAGAATCCTACACATCTCGCCGCGACAGACGCCGCCGACCCCCACAGTACCGACAGACGCTCCCCCACACAAGTCCTAGCGAGAGTGGGGCGATGCCGAGTACGCCGCATGACCCAGCCACAGAGTCTCGCCTCGCGGGCGGGCGGCCGCGTCAGCCGAGCCAGAAGCCGGTGGTGCCGGCGCCGCGAGCCTTGAGCGCCTGCCAGCTCTCGTGGCACTCCTTGACCACCTCAGCCGCGCGCGCGGCCGAGGTGGGCGTGTCGGAGGCGAGCTTGTTCTCGGGCTTGCCGTCGGTCGTCTTGTACCTCTTGAGCCACTCGACGAGCTTCGGCACGACGCCGGCGGGCAGGTCGGCGGCGGAGGAGGCGGAAGCGGCGAGCGGATCTTCGGCGTCGACGACGATGATCTTGTGGTCGAGCTCACCTATTCACAGCTCCGTGACGACTCCGGATCAGAGGGGCGGCGGCGGCGAGGGCGTCGAGGGGGGGCTGACCCTGGTCGATGAGCTCGAGGTCGCCCAGGATCTTGACCTTTCGCATCTCGCCAACCTTGCAGGTGCGCGAGGAGAGGTCCATCACGTCGAGCGGGTCGTTGTCGCCGACCGTGCCTATGCGCACGCTCCGAGGCGGCTGAAGGAGGCCGCCCCCACGGCGCAGCGGAGCCGTGGCCGCCGAGTTGTGCTGTGCCGTTGAAGCCCTTCTTGGCGGGGTCCTCCCATGTCTGGGGCAGCATGCCGTAGTTGAAGAAGGAGGCGCCGTACGTGTAGTAGCGCAGCGCGCCCTTCTTGGTGTCCTGCATGATCGGGTTGAAGGGCTTCTCTTTTTGCACCTGCACGGACAGACGCGCGTCAAGGAAGAAGGAGGGGCGTGGACGCGGGGCTGCTCCTCGGGCACCTCGAGCTTTGCTGTGGCGCCGCGCGGGATCTCGCACACAAAGTTGACGAAAGACGGGTCGCTCGCTGTCGGGTAGAGGGCGAGGTTGTGCCACGGCGAGATCTGCGCCCCGTCGGCGCCGACGAAATGGGCGGTGAAGGCAACCTTGCCGAAGGGCTGCTCGGCCGAGCTGCGCATGTTTGGCGCGAGCGGCAGCCCTCCGAGCTGCTTCGAGTACGGCACCCAGTCGCCCGTCTTTTGGCGGATGTAGTAGTCCGAGACGATCTCCCACCCCTTTTGCACCATGAAGCCGGGCGGGATGCACTTGGAGGCGATCAGGTCGGAAGGGATGGTCGGCGGGCACGGCTTGGCGGCGAGGGCGGCGAGCTTGCGCATCTTGGAGCCCGAGATGGAGATGAAGTCGTCGGGGCGCGACTCGTCCTTGCCGCGCATCGTGTGGTCCTTCTTGTCGTAGTACACCTTGCTGAAGCCGAGGAACTGCATGCCACCCACGCCAGGCGACGACATGAGCGCGTACCGGCCGTGGTCCGGGTGGTAGATGTCGTCTCCCTCCTCGTGGCCAGGCCCGTCCGACGAGTAGGGCATGCCCGCCGGGTCGCGGCCGACGGTGAAGTAAGAGGCGCCGCCCGCGCGGCGCGACTTAGCGTGGAACTGAACCTCCGTCGGGCCCGCGTAGATCATCGGCGAGGGCCAGATGGCCATCACGGTCCAGTCGGGGTGCAGCTCGCCCGCCGCCATCACCTCCTGGTGCTGCTTGACGCGCACGTCCAGCGGCACGTCGGACGCCTTGGTCCACCCACCGAGCGGTGAGAGCCACAGCACGGGCTTCTTGTACCCGCGCGCCATCAGCTTCTGCCGCGAGTCCTTCATCAGGAAGGCGTGGCCCGCGTGCGTCGGGTTGCGCGTCTGGAAGGCGTACACCACGTCGGCGCCCTTCGCCTTGAAGGCGGCCCGCAGCTCCTCCGCGGTCAGGCGGTACGCGTCCAGCCCGTCGTTGTACGTGATCTTGCCGAGCAGCTCGACCTCGCCGCCGACCGCGTAGTCCTTGCCCGGCTTGAGCAGCTCCTTGACGTACGGGTGCTCGTCGTCCGTCATGCCGAAGGTGCGGTGAATCAGCTCTCGCACGCGAAGCTCGTACACCTCGGGGCTGCGCAGGATAGCGAGAGCGACGCCCGCTGCGTTGGTGAGCGCGACCGCACCCGCGCCCGCGATCTGGCGGCGCGTGAAGTCGGTGACGGGCAACACGATCGGCACGGGCGAGGAGACGCGCTCGCGCGGGAAGGAGGACTGCATCCAGTCGGTGGTCGCCGAGTTGTAGTCGCCCGTCACGTTGTTCGGGTCGTGCAGCACCGAGTTGAAGTGCAGCGTCTGCACGAGCGTGCCCTCGCGCATGAAGCCGCGCAGAGGCGCCGCCCAGCCCTCGCCGACCACCTGGAGCCAGTTGACGTCGATGTCCGTCAGCGGCACCTTTGGCAGCGTCTCCGCCTCCTTGCGCCGCGCGAGCAGCGCCTCGGGCGCGGTGGTGATGCGGTTGATGTGCACCCCACCGTCCGGAGGCGTGAGGCCGTCCGGCATGGCGTGGCCGCTCAGCGCGCCGGCTGCGGTGAGGGCCATCACGAGCTGGTCGACACACTGCTCGACAGGCAGCTCCGAGTTCTTGAGCGTCAGCTCGGCATGCAGCGGCGCCTGTGCGGCAGTGATGGAAGACTGGCTGACCTACCATCCCTGGAGAGAGTGTGTGGTTTGTCGTGTCCCTCCACAGCCGACCCGTGTGCAGCTGGGAGAGGTGCAGGCAGAGGCGTCGACCTGTGTGGTGTCACCGGCCCCGTGCGACCAGGTGCGACCAGGATGCACCGCCGGTCGCGAGCCGGCGGGCGAGGCTGCCGTGGGGTGGAGCGGAAGAGAGGGGGGAGGGGGAGAGGGGAGTGGTGGTGTCAGCGACGGCGGTGTGCGGCGGTGTGTGCCGCGGCGCCTCGTACGGCGCGTCGACGCCGGTGAAGCCCTTGATGAGCCCCTTGGCGACCTTCTTGTACAGGCCCTTCGGGTCGCGCGCTTGGACGACCGAGAGGGGCACGTCCATGAAGACCTCCATGAAGGGGATGCCCTATTCATCAACCGGACGCGGGTCATTACTTGCTCCGTCCTCCATGAAGGGGATGCCGTCGCAGCTCTCTCCTCGCAGCGAGGGGCCGACAGGCGGTGAGAGCTTGGGAGGTGAGAACTTGGGCGGTGGCCACGGCACGGGGCACGGGGCGGCCGGTGAGGCGTCGGTGGCAGCAGAGGCGGCAGGAGGGCGGCTGGGAGAGGATGGGCGAGGCTCTAGGTGCCTTCTTGCGTGGCGGAGAGGTCTAGCGAGTGCGGGTCGAGCGCGCGGGTGCGGCGGCGGTGCGGCGGTGTGTGGACGCTTCTCGGAGGCGGCGCCTGCTTCTCGTGCAGTGCGCGCGCGGCGTCGCGATCTTTGCGGTAGGGCGAGATGAGGGTGACCATGGTGATGACACCCGCCTCGGAGAAGAGGGCGGCCACGTGCGACGCGCGCCGGACGGACCTACGGGACATGTCCAGGAAGTGTCGTGGAAGTGGCGGGCCGGTGTCGGGCCGCTTGAGAGGCGGGCGGACTCGGCGCGGTCGTCGGGCGAGAAGCCGAGGTCCTTAGTGAGGCCGGTGCGCAGGTTGTCGCCGTCGATCCGGAAGACGTTCTTACCCAGCTTGTAGAGGAGACGGCGCTCGAGCGCCTGCAGAGGAGAGAGCTCCGAGAAGGGTCGGGGAAGGGTCGGGGAAGGGTTGGGCCGAGCTTGCAGAGGAGTCGGCGCTGCGCCTCGGCGATGGTGGTCTTGCCCGAGCCGGACAGGCCCGTCATCCAGAGAGTGATTCCCTTCTGGCCGATCACGCGCGAGCGGTTGAGGGCGTCGGCGCGGCACACCTGTGCACGCAGCCGCGGGGGAGAAGAGGAGGGTGGGTGGGAGAGGGAGGGCGGGCGGGAGGGTGGGGGAGGGAGGGCGGGTGAGAGGGGGAGAGGAGGCGGGCGGGAGAGGCGGCGGGCGAGGCGGGGGCGCGTGCTGGGGCGGGGCAGAGCAGTGCGTCTGCGGCGAGCGCCTGGCCCGGCTTGCACTCTGCGATGTTGACCATGTCCCTGGCGAGCATCTTGGTGCGATGCCTCGCGACCACCTCGGCGTCGTCCGGCTGCGACGCCGCGGGCGCGGCCGCGATCGACGGGCACTCCGGGATCTTTGGACAAGACAGCTCGCACGCAGGGCACGGCTTGTGCTGGCACTCGGGGCAGGCGGGGCAGGCGGGACACTTGCTGACGGCGATTTGCGCGGCTCGGCTTGCGACGTCGGCCACGTTGACTGGAGGCGAGGCCTTCTCGCACGGCGCGCAGGCCTTGCAGGGCAGCAGCCGCGGGTAGGCGATCATGCAAACGACGACGCCCGCGGCAAAGGAGAGGAACATCGAGAACCGCCACCGCTGCAGCGTCTTCTGGCGGTAGCGATAGCTGCCCGGGAGGTCCTCGGCGTCCACAGGAGAGTAGTGGTGGCTCGACATATTGCGGGCGGGCACCAGTCCCAGTCCCGCAACAGGCCACACACACAGCGCCTTAGGAGCGAGTTCTACGCGGCGTGCAAGTTCTCAGGAAAAATAAAACGCACTGCATACGCTGAGCGGACGTGGAGGACAAAGCCGGTGCGCTCGGCGGAGGCGAAGCGGCGGCGACACGCCAAGGGGAAGAGGAAGCGACGACTACGTGCTGCCGGTAACGCCGGTAGCAGCGGCCAGGATGCTGCTTTCGGTTGCAGCGGCGAGACCACCGGCGGAAGGGGTGACGGCGCGCCCTCCGTCTCACCCCCGCCACCGCCGCCGTCGGCCTCGCCCTCACCGCTGCCGCCGTCGTCCTCGCCGTCTCCGCCGCCGCCGTCGACCTCGTCCTCGCCGCCGCCATCCTCCACCCCGCCGCCGCCGCCGCCTCCATCCGCCTCGCCGTCGCCTCCCCCTCGCCTTCGCCGCTACTTGCTCGTATTTTAGGTGCGTCCACGCCTCGCACACCACCTTCCGGCAGGGCCCCGGACGCTTGGTTTCGTCCTGATCCCCTCGCCCCTGCCCCGCCCCCCTTCAGGTGAGGCCCTGGCGACTCAACTCGTGCTATGGTCACCGGGAATGGGCAGCTGCGCCACGCTCTTCGAGAGCGATCGGCGGCGGCGGCTCGTTTTCCGCACGCGTACGGTGGCCTGCTGCCGGCGCGGCCGGGCACTCCAGGAATTTATTTTGTGTACTCTCGTAAATTCGTGACGCTTGCGGGGCTAGTATGTTGTTTTCTGGGGGGCGTTCGGGGCGGCGGAGTATTTTCTTGTGCGCGCGGGCGGCCAGGGGCGGCCCCTGGGCGCCCTATTGCCGATTTTTTACAATCGAACACACCCGGATAGCATCCCTCTCCCCACGCGCGCGCACGCCACGCCCCACGCTCCCCGCAGCCCGCAGCCCGCTGCCCGCTGCCCGCTGCCCGCTGCCCGCTGCCCGCTGCCCGCTGCCCGACTCCCGAGTCCCAGAAGCCCCATCACCCTGCTCTTTTTTTGTAGCTGCAGGTCTCCACCCATCAGGCATCGGCTGGCCCCGAAGCGCCGCGTCGCGGTCGGGCGGCCGCCAGCATGCGATTTTGAGAGAAGAGGCCTCATTCACAATTCTCAAGAACCACCTTGGAAAAGTACGCGACACCCGATTTACACCTTCTATGAATCAACAAACCAGTAGCGCGCTGAGCCCCCAGCAGCCGCGTACTCATGGCTCCGATGCAGCGGCCAGGGATGGCAACGTCGAACAGGTCGAGGCTGAACAGCTTGAGCAGGTCGAGCCAGCGGGTAAAGTGCTCGTCGAGGCGGACGCCGTAGACGAGGCCGAGGGTGATGCTCACCTGGTAGAAACTGACGACGACCTTGAACTTGGGCTGCAGGCCGACCGCGGACTCGATGCGGGCGGCCCGCCTTCGGAGGCGGCGGGAGATGGGGAGGCGACGGAGCCCAGCGTAGGCGGCGGCGAGCACAGCGATGACGATGACAAAGCCGACAAAGATGCCGGCGGAGCGAGCCGTCGAGGGGCAGGCGACGCAGCGCCCCTCGGCAGAGCTAAAGTAGTCCGAGTCCGCGACGCAGACCTCGCAGAGCGGGCCGGTGTGGCCGGCGGCGCAGTACGGGTCGCCGTCTCCGTCGGTGAGGCGGCGGCGGCGGGAGGGCTGGCCGGAGCCATCAGAGCACGTCTCTGAGTCACAGCGGTGGAGCTCCGAGGTGGCGTCGGAGGCGCGCCAGTAGCCGGCGTCCACGCCGAGGGACGCGAGAGTGGTGCCGGCGCTGCAGTTGGCGTGAAGCGGGCACGACTTGCAATGGTCGGTCGGGTTCTCAAAGACGTCGTCTGGATCGGCATTCGCGTCCTTCAAGTAGAAGTCCTCCTTGCAGATGGAGCAAGTGACGTCGCCGCTCTTGGAGCTGAGGGGGTGGGGGCAGAGAGTGCACTGCGAGAGGCCCTCGCTCGCCGCGTAGGTGTCCGCCTCGCACTCCTCGCAAGCGGTGCCGGAGGCTGCGTAGTGGCCGATAGGGCAGAGCTCGCAAGCGGGCATGTTGGCCGAGGGGGCGATGCTGCCTGGAGCGCACGCCGTCTGCTGCGTCGAGCCCGTGGTGGCGAAGTGGCCCGGTGAGGCGTCGGTGCACTCGCTCGCGGCGGTGAGGTTGGTCGCGGTCGAGTAGGAACCCGCCTCGCACGGCAGCGGCGCGGCGGCGCCCACGGCGCAGTAGCTGCCCTGCTCGCACGCGCGGCAGCCCGTAGCGCCCGTATCGCTCTGGTAGGTCCCGCCCGCGCACTTGTCGCACGCCTCCATCCGCTCGGTCGGCGCGATCGTGCCCGCCGCGCACTGCGTCGGAGGCGCGGCGCCGCCCGGACACGACGAGCCCGCCGGGCAGTCGAAGCAGTCGGGGATGCCGTCGCCGTCCGTGACGTTGGCGTATGTACCCGGCTCGCACGCCGCAGGCAGCTCGAGCGACGCGCCGACCGGGCAGAAGCTGCCAAGCCCGCACCGGACGCAGCCGGCAGCACCGATGGCGTTCTGGTAGGATCCCGCCTTGCACGGCTCGCACTCGGCGTTGCGCGAGCCGGATGCGAATGTGCCGGCGCGGCAAGCCACGGGAGTCGCGCTGCCAGTGGTGCAAGCGTGGCCCGAAGGGCAGTCCTCGCAGCCGCCCGCCGAGTCAAGATTCGTCTTGTTCGAGTAGCTGCCAGCCTCGCACGGCAGCGCCGCCGCCGCGCCCGGCTCGCAGAAGCTGCCTTGCTTGCACGGCTTGCACTCCGTCTTGCCGCCCATGTCCTGGTACGTGCCGCCGGGGCAGGGCGTGCACTCGCCCTGCCTGGTCTCGTTCGTGTACGACCCTTTGGCGCACGCCGTCTGCTGCGTCGAGCCCGTGGTGGCGAAGTGGCCCGGCGAGGCGTCGGTGCACTCGCTCGCGGCGGAGAGGTTGGTGGCGGTCGAGTAGCTGCCCTTCTCGCACGGCAGCGGCGCCGACGCGCCAACAGCGCAGTAGCCGCCCGCCTCGCACGGCTTGCACGCCGTCTGCGCCTCCGCGTCCTGGTACGTGCCGGCGGAACAGGGCGTGCACTCGCCCTGCCTGGTCTCGTTCGTGTACGACCCCTTGGCGCACGCCGTCTGCTCGGTGGAGCCGGTGGTGGCGAAGTGGCCCGGCGAGGCGTCGGTGCACTCGCCCGCAGCGGTGAGGTTGGTGGCGGTCGAGTAGCTGCCAGCCTCGCACGGCAGCGCCGCCGACGCGCCCTCGGCGCAGTAGCTGCCCTCCACGCACGGAAGGCAGCCCGTCGCGTTCGACTCGCCCTGGTACGTCCCGCCCGCACAGCTGGCGCACTCGGAGAGGCCGGCCGTGGCGGCGAAAGAGCCCGGCGAGCACTCGGACGGCGGCGCCGCCCCGCCGCCGCACGACGCGCCGGCGGGGCAGTCGAGGCACTCGGGGTCGCCGCTCTGGTCGGTCAGCCTGGCGTACGTGCCCGCCGCGCACTGCGCGTCCAGCTCGCGCGACGAGCCCTGAGGGCAAAACCTGCCGGCAGCGCAGCGGACGCAGACGGCGGCGGCGGGCTCGCTCTGGTAGTAGCCCTGGGCGCACAGCTCGCAGCGAGCGTTGCCGAGGCCGGAAGCGTTGCTGCCTGGCGAGCACGGCGTCGGTGCCACGCTGCCCGTGGTGCAGGCGTGGCCCTCGTCGCACAGCGTGCACTCTTCCGGTGCGGCGAGGTCGGTGGCGTTCGAGTACGATCCGGCGGGGCAGGGAAGGGGCACGCTCGTCCCCTCGGGGCAGACGTGGCCAGCATCGCAGGGCAGCGCCTCATAGGTCGCCTCTGTGGGGCACTGGGAGCCTGCGCGGCAGCGGCCGGCGCAGCTGCTGCTCGACTGCTCCTTTGGGTCGGCCGAGCCGAGGAGGCCGGCGGCGCAGGCGAAGGGGAAGTCCTCATCGACGGGCAGCAGCGGCAGCTGGTAGAGGTCATCGCCGAGGAGGGCGGGATCGCCTCCGGTCTCGTTGTTCCAGTTGCAGGGCTGCACGAAAGTCGCGGCCTGGCAGTACCACGGCTCGTTGACGTCGCATGCCGCCTGCTTGTCGGTCTGCCTGCGGCAAGCCGCCTCCTTCTCGTCCGACGAAGGCTCGGTCGCATCGCTCTCCGTGACGGCGAGGGCGCAATCTTCGCGGTGCTCGAGGCACGCCTTCTGCTTGGCCTGATCAGAACGGTAAGGGCACGCCTCCCGGTACACCTCGCAGCGCGCGTTCGGCAGCCAGCGGCCGGCTGGGGCGGGGAGGGTGTAGGAGACCTCGCCAGCTAGAAGGAAGACGGAGCGGCCCTCTTGGGCCAAGCAGCCGCTGATGAGAGTGCCGTCACTCAGGGTGGTGCGCCCGCCCGCCGAGTAGAGGCCGCCGCCAGACAGGGCAGAGCAGCCGCTGATGAGTGTGCCGTCGCTAAGGGAGGTGCGCCCTCCCGCCGAGTAGAGGCCGCCGCCAGACTCGAAGGCGATGCAGCTGGAGATGGTGGAGCGGACCAGGCTGGCTGAGCCCGACCCCACGTACACTGCGCCGCCTCGAAAGGCACGGCAGTCGGAGATGGTGGAGTCGGTCACGATGAGGTCGCTGTTCCACGTGTATGTGGCTCCGCCGCGCTGCGGTTGCGAGGAGAGAGCGGGGTGAGGCAGCCGTGGCCCCTCTCCATCTCTCGCCCCGCTGCCGTGCGGCGCTGCTGGGAGGCGGCTAGCTCTACGCGGCGCACATTGCCAGCCGAGCAGCCCGACACGGTCGAGCTGGTTATCGAGACCGCACCGCTGTCCTGCGCGTAGACGACGCCGCCGGACTGCGGTTGCGAGGAGAGAGCGGGGTGAGGCAGCCGTGGTCCTCCTATCTCTCATCCCGCTGCCGAGTGGCGCTGCAGGGCGGCTAGCTCTACGCGGCGCACATTGCCAGCCGAGCAGCCCCTCACATCCGAGCCGATTATCGAGACCGCACCGCTGTTCTGCGTCCTGACGACGCCGCCGTACTGCGGTTGCGAGGAGAGAGCGGGGTGATAGAGAGGGACACGGCTGTCCCTGACGGTCGAGTCGATGATCTCGACGTCGCCTGCGCCAATCGCGTTCACAACGCCACCGTAGTCCGCCCTCCCGTCGACGAGGGTCAGCCCCCGCAGGGTGAGGCTGCAGCCGCCCGAGAGGTAAAAGAGCCCGGTCTCTCCCTGGCCGTCGAGCGTCGCGCCCTCGCCGCTGCTCGCGACGGTCACTTTGATGGTGGAAGAGCAGCTGATCTGGCTGCTCAGCTTGAACTCTGCACCGGGCGGCAGGTAGATGGAGACGTTGGCAGCAGTAACAGTAGCCTCCTCGATCAGGTTGCGGAGTTCGGTCTCGGTCGCCGCGGCGACATAGCCGGGGGAGAGTGGCGGCAGCGGCGGAGGCGGTGAAGCTGGCGGCGACGGCGGCGAAATGGGCGGCGCGTTTGACCAGCAGACCTGGCAAGCCGCGCGTGGTGAGAGGGGGTGTGAAGGAGGGGGCAAAGGGGGGGCCTGCGGGGAAGGGATGGAGGGGGAGGGTGAGGGTGAGGGTGTGTGCGCGCCTTCCAGCCGAGCCAGGGGTGAAGGGGAGGCCACCCGGAGAAGTCCAGAGATTTCCAAACAATGTCACCACTCGCAATCACCCCGTCGGGGCCGTTGGGGCCACAGAACGTCTGTTTGCCAATCACCTCGAGGTAGTCGGAGTAAACCTCGCTGCACGCTCCGTCATAGGGTCGTTCTGCGCCCCCCGGGGTTCCGTACGTGGCGTAGTAAGAATCTTTGTCGGGCAGGGCGCCTCGAGCAAAGAACTCCACCGACACCAGCGGCAGCTCCGGCACGCCGGAGAAGGTGCAAGACTCGCCTTCGCCGTAGTTCCCGACTCGCTCGCCGTAGTTTTCCGCGCTAGTGTCGTTGACGTAGTTGGACGAGGCGATGCAGTCCCAGCCCCCGGTCCCATTAGGGAGGGCAAGCAGCTTGCACGGGCCGGTGACGCTGATCTCCGCGTGCGCGACGGCGGCCAAGAGCAGGGGCCAGAGAGCCGCCATGCGCCCGACTTTGAGATGCGAAAGGCCGATCAAGGGGGTCGCGAGGGGAGACGCGCCCGCCCTGCCGACGAGCAGCGCGGCGGCGGCCACGCGGACGTGTGCAGCGGTTGGCTCGACACGCCCGAGTCGCAAGGCCAGGGTTGAGATATTGTTCTCCCTGGCAACTTGTAGTGGAGGCGTGAATCCGTTAGGATTCTCGCCCGCTCTGCTGAGGGGAGGGGACGGTCGACTGGGCCGGTCGCTCGACCCGATTCTACTCTACTATCAGTCTTACCATTCATGGACAATAGTGTCTGTGACGGCGGTGACATTCACAGCGAGGTCAGTTCACAGCCGAGGCGCCGATCCTGACACGCTCCACTTTCGGCTCGCCGCGGCTCGAGCAAGGTCTATGTCGATCCGCATCTTGCCAGCTGTGGCTCGCCCGTCTACCGCTACCGCGCCTACCAGATACAGTCGCAGATGCAGGCTTGCGTTGGCTTGAGACGTCATTCGTCCACGCTGGCGCTTGCGGTGCCATTCTGTGCTGTGGTTCTCGTGCGGTTTTATCGTTCTTCGTTGCGATTGCCGTGGTGGCGGTGGATGCAGCCGAGCCGAGTGTCGTCGTTGACGGCATCGCGCTCGTCTTTCGACTGCCTCGCTTCTTCTACCGACACGGAGACACGTGGGTCAGCGCGCAGTCGAAGATCTGGTATGCGTTTATCTTCTGTTGTCGTCGAGATTTCCGGCTGGGTCAGCTCACCGATGCGGCCCCGACCGGCCTTTGCGACAGCATCTGCGACGCTGCTCAGCCGCTGACGCCGCGAGAGTGGATCGCCATGGCGTGGCCAGCAGTACGGCGAGCTATGTCAGTGTCATTACCGTTGCAGTGATGTGGGACCCTCTGGCCAGCCTCTGGCACCATCTTGGATGCCGGCGCGGGTCCCCAGACTTGGACACATGCCAGTGGTGGCAGTCCATCCTCGCCTACCTCTGCACTGGAGGCAGGTAGTCGTAATATGGTCGAGTCTGGCGTCGATAGGACACAGGCCGACTCATTCTGCTTCAGTCCGCGCGCGCTGTCCCTGCAACCCACTTCGGCCCATCGACGGCCAGCACCCAGTGTCTGATTGACCCGCCGGCTGTGCGTCAGCAGCGGCTTCAGACGGGTCTGCGCCTGACGGGGATTTTGCATTGACGGGCTCTGCAGACAGCGCGTAGAAGCAACGACGCGAGGCCGTGGCCACAGTGTGGACTGCTGTGGTCTTCGGGATGGTCGCCGTGGTTTGCCTTTGCGGATCTATATGACAGATGCTCTGGATCCGCGCTCTGCTCAGTGCAGGGTGGTGAACCGCGAGCGTACTACTCGTAGCGACGCAACCGCTGCGGATCAGGAGGCGATGCCACCTCGAGCCTGTACGCTCGCTGAATTCAGCTGTGGTCCTGCCGGGAGCAGGGCCTGGCTGACTCTCGCGCTCGTGTAACTGGTCTCACGATAGCCATGCCGGCGCGGATGGACAGGTTCGACTGACCAACATACCAACACACCAACACACCAACACACCAACACACCAACGCCCAGTGCATGAATTTGGGCCGGCCAGAGTTGCACTTCCGAAGGCCCATGCTGCGAGAACACGCCCGGCACGTCGACTGTGACATGCCAGAGCAGGGGCCATGTGTACCACGAACCCCGCCTTCAGGAGCTGTACAGTGAAGGTCAGAGAGGCTCGATCCCGGAGCCACCTCGTTGTTGAAATCGGAGTCAAGTTCCAATGAGGCGCCATGTGTACCACGAACACCACAATGAAGAGGAACACCGTGTGCATGCGACCCGTCTACAGAAGCAGAGGGGCACTACGGCAGGTATGCAGCTATCTTGCCCCCAACAAGAAGCACTGTCCTCGGTGCACAACCAAGGAGTCGGGATCCAACTAGGCAATGTGGTTGTCCTGGCTGATGAGCCGCCAGCGAATTATGTGGGACAGCCCCAATGTTGCGGGGCCACAAGCCACCGACCGGACCTGCGCCCCTTGGTCTTCTTCGGCGAGCGGACCTGCGTCGGGTGCGGGCGTCGGGTGCGGGCTATGGTGCAGTCTAGCGCAGCGCCCCCTCGGCCCGGCTGGGATATCCCTCCCTCCCTTGGGCTGACCGTTTTCTTTCTTTCTTTGCTCTATGACCGTGTGGGGGAGGGGGTGTTGGTGCGGGGCGCGTGGCGTGTGCGGCACGTGTTACACTGACCGTGTGTTTTGTGTTTAGTCACTCTAGATAGATATAACATCTTCACGCAGTGACCGACACGTGCGCGGGCGCATCGCTGCCGAGGCTCTGCGTAGACGCCGTTTATGCATTGTGCTCTCCACGAATGCCCAACTAAACTATCCGTGTTGAGTGTCCACACTCTTTTGTCCGGCAGGACGCGGGTGATGCAGGTGATGCCGAGGGCGGCTGCGCGGCGAGCCATTCGTCGAGCCTCGCGCGGACCTGCCGCATGGAGGGCCTCTCCTCCTCGTCCGGCTTCGTGCAGCGGCTCACCAGCTCGGAGAGGGCAGCCGGCCAGTGCGGCGAGAGGGCGGGCGTGGCGAACCTGGCGAAGAAGCAGTCTGCGCCCGTCCACGCAAAGGGCGCCTCGGCAAGGTAGCTCCAGAGCTGCGCCAAGGGCGGGAGCGGCTGCGCCGCCTTGAGCGCGCGGTAGAGCAGCACCCCGAAGGCGTACGTGTCGACGCCCGCCCCGAACGGACGGCAGTGGAACACCTGCGGCGAGGTTGTAGAGAGAGACGGAGGCGAGAATCGGAGCCCGGGGTTGCGAGCCCGAGATTGAGAGACCGCGTGGAGAACACCTCTGGCGACATGTACTCGTAGACGCCCACGCGCTGCTCCGCCTGGAAAGTGGTGCGCACCGCTGCGGCCGCGCCTCCGCCCTCTCCTGCATGCTCTCCGCCTTCGGCCCCGAGGCCCTCGAGGCGGACCGAGAGGCCGAAGTCGACAAGCCTAGGTGTAGAAAGAGGCATGCGCGGGTGTGTGAACAACAAACAAGCGCAGGGAGAGAAGAGAGGGCGGGGTTCGAGAGACGAGGCACGCGCCTTGCGCGCGGCTGGCGCGGCTGGCCCGGCTGCTCCTCGCGGACGACGATGTTTGTCTCCTTGATGTCTCGGTGCACGAGCCCTCTTGCATGAAGCGCCTCCACCTGGCGGCGGTCGGTGAGGGTTACTCTGTACTGAGCGGAGAAGGGAAGGCGGCGAGGGCGGTGAGTCGGGCGGTGGTTTTGAGCAGAAGGGTGTGAGGCGCCTCGGCCGCCACGTCGCGCAGCAGGCTGGCCACGGTGCGGAGGGGGGGCGAGGCGCGGAGGAGGCGCAGCATGTGCTGCCCCTCGATGAGGCCTAATCTCGAACGATCTCGGGGGTGATCTCGGACAATCTCGCGCAGCAGCGTGCCGCCGCGACGAAAGGAGGGCCCATCACGACGAAGCCTCGCAGGCCGCCCGCCTCGGCGGCGAAGCCGTGCGCGCGGTAGAGCGGCTCGAGTGGCGGTCCGACGATGGAGCCGCCGCTGCCGCTGCCCCTGATGATGCTGCCGCTGCCACTGCCGGTGATGGAGTAGCTGGTGGCGCCCTTGCCAGAGATGGCGAGCAGCGCCGTGACCTCGAGCCGGAAGCACTCCGCGTCCATCGGCGAAATCTCGGGTGCTCTCGGGCAGTCTGCGCGTCCGTCGGCCCGGAGCGGCTGATCGCCGGGAGCGGCGAGGGTCGAGGCGAGGGCGACGGGCCGCCGGGTGAGCTTGAGGGCGAGCACCTGCGGCGCAGGCGGTAAGTCATGAACGGGGGCGCGGAGACGGTCAACCTGTGCTGGTCTCATGTCATGTGCGCTTTGGGCGGAGCTGCTTCTGCTCTTCACACCTCCCCGGAGTCACGTCTCCTTACGCGCCAGACGATAGCAAACTGGCCGAGCCCGAGGGGGCGGAGGAGCTCGTAGTCGTCGATCCGGGAGGCGCGCTCGGGCGAAGCCAGTTCCGCCATGCTCAGCGGCGGCAGCATGCAGTCTCCTGCCGCGCGCGCGGCTGGCGCAAGCGCGCTCGGGGGCAGATACCGCACGGCTTGCGCGGCGGCGTCGCGCTCGGCCTCACGCCTGCTCGCGCCCCACCCGTCGCTCCATCTCTCGAGCAGCTCTGCTAGGGCCGCGTCCGTTGGGCTGGCCCCGTGCAGCAGCCGCCGCTCGTTCGGCGCCCGCCCGACGCCCGTCCTCACGGCATTGGCAAACATCTTGCCGTCGTGCACCGACCAGGAAGAGCGGTCCGACGAAGCGGCGGCCGTTGGGTCGTTGCCCGGTGCCCACGCCCAGTCCTGCGCACGCTTCCGCCAGTCCTTCTTGCCGCTGCCCGGATGTGGCCTGGCCCGCGCTCGCCGCTGCTCGGCGATATGTTGAGCGAAGGCGTTTCCGTCGTGCACCGTCCAGTCTCGCTCCATGCGCATGAAGGCAGGCGAGCAATCAACGTCAATCAGGGAACGGCGCAATGGCGGTGGCGCACGAGCAACCTGGCAGCTCGCGGCGTTCGCCGAGAGCCGCGGCACCACGCCGACGCCTACCGCGAGCGCTTCGCCCCTAGGCCCAGAAGATGCCTCGGAGCTCGGCGGCGGAGCTGCGGAGAGGAGGCCACTCGCGTGACGGGATTACGGTTTTCTTTTTCGTCATTTGGCGGGGGCGCTTGTTGTCCACCACACGCAGCAGATCTCCATGGCAGCGGTGGCGGGCGACGCCGACAATTCATCAACAAGCACCCCCGCCAAATGACGAAAAAGAAAACCGTAATCCCGTCACGCGAGTGGCCTCCTCTCCGCAGCTCCGCCGCCGAGCTCCGAGGCATCTTCTGGGCCTAGGGGCGAAGCGCTCGAGGAAGGCGTCGGGGTGGTCGCGTCTTTACACAAAGAAAGAGGGGAGCAAATGGTTTGCTCCACTCCCACCGCTCGGCGG